TTCAGGGTGTGGGAGGGGGCTCTGGGCTGAGGCAGAGGGTTGGTGTGTGGGAATGGGTCAGGGCTCTGGGCTGGGGCTGGGGATGAGGGTTTTGAGGTACAGAAGGGGGTCAAGGCTCTGGGCTGGGGGTGCAGGCTCTATGGTGAGGCTGGGGATGAGGGGTTTGGGGTGCAGGAAGGGGTTCCAGGCTTGGGGGGGGGGCTCAGGGCTGGGACAGGGGATTGGGGCGCAGGGTTGGGACATGGATTTACCTCGAGCAACTCTCAGTCAGCGGCGCAGCGGGGGTGCTAAGGCAGGCTTCCTGCCTGTCCTGGCACCATGGACCGTGCTTCGCCCCAGAAGCAGCCAGCAGCAGGTCCGGCTCCTAGGCGGAGGCACACCCGCAGGCACCACCACCCCTCAGGCGCAGGCCCTTTCCCGGCCAATGGGAGTGCAGAGCCGGTGCTCGGGGCAGGGGCAGCGCATGGAGCCCCATGGCACCCCCACCTAAGAGCTGGAACTGCTGCTGGCCGCTTCCGAGGCACAGCGTAGTGTCAGAACAGGGACTAGCCTGCCTTAGCCGGACAGCACCGCCGACGGGACTTTTAATGCCTTACACTCCATTCTGACCAGAGCCGCCGTGACCCATTGCCTTAGATTCCACGACTCAGTACTGGGTCGTGACCCGCAGTTTGAAAATCACTGTTCTAACAGATAAAACACAAGATGGGGTACTAGTTTGTGTCTGCTACAGACCAGCAAATAATACTAGGGAATAGAATGGTGAGCACCGGTACAAACCTAACTATAATGTGTAGAGGGGAAAAAAGCTGTGTGATCATGGGGAGCTGCTATTTGAGAGACATACGCTGAAGCTTTCATGCTATCAGTACTAAAACATTGTTGGGATTTCTAAATGTAGATAACCATTTCCTAACTCAAAAAGTGTATCGAACATGAGGTAATTTTATATTAGGCCTTGTCTTGACAGATAAATAGAAACTGATCACAGAGCTAAAAATTAATGGTAACTTAGGTACAAGTGATCATGACTTGGTCACATTTATAATTCATAAACAGAAAAAAGTCCAGAACAATGATATATATACTTGGTGCTTTAAAACAACCAGTTTAACAAAGATGAAAACAATTATGAGCCAAATAAGCTGGGAGGAAGATTTTGTCAGAAAAATGTGAATGGTAATTGGGAATTGTTTAAGAACACTTTACTAGGTGCCCCAAAAGCCACAATCGAGGAAGAAACCCATCCTGGTTAGAAAACCGACCTGGTGTAGAGGAGAATTAAAGGCACCTATAAAATATATATATATATATATATAAAACAAATGGAAGAAAGGGGAAGTTGGTAGTAATTTAATATAAATCAGAAGGTAAGAACTGTGGAAAATTGATAAGGGAAGCAAAAGTCCATAAGGAGAAATCTGTGGCCAGCAGAGTTAAGGACAATAAGAAAGTGTTTTTTAAATATGTTAGGAACAAAAAGAATCCTAACAATGGTATTCGTTCATTACTAAATGAAAATGGTAGAATTATCAATAATAATGCAGAAAACACAGAGTTGTTCAATAAATATCTGTTCCCCTCCCCTCAAATACAGAATAGAAATGATATATTCATATAATAAAATAACTCTTTCCATTCCAGTAGGATTTCAGGAGAATGTTCAACATCCGCTACTAGAGTGAGACATTTTTAAATCAGCAGGTGTAAATAACTTGCATCCAAGAGTTTTAAAAGAGTTGGCTAAGGATCTCACTGTACCTTTAGTGTTGCTTTTCAGAAAGTCTTGGAACACTAGAGAAGTTCCAGAAGACTGGAAAAAAGCTAATGTTGTGCCAATGTTTAAAAATGGTAAACAGGATGACCTAGGTAATAATAGGACTGTCAGTCTGACATCGATTCCAGGAAAGATAATGGAGCAGCTGATATGGGGTTTGATTAATTAAGAATTAAAGGAGGGTAATACAATTAAAGCCAATCAACATGGATTTATGGTAAATAGATCCTGTTAAATGAACTTGATATCTTTATTGAATGAGATTACAAGTTTGATTGACACCTTACATGATATACATTGTACAAGATTTGTTGCAATGGTCTAACAGTGGCAATATTAATTATATAAATGGCCATGTTTCAATCATACAGCATCTCATCAGGTTAAGCCCCTTTGAACTCACTGGGAATTTGCCTGAGTGTGGATTGAGTAAGAAGTAACAATGTCAGGATTTGGGCCTATTTACTTTCGTGGGAGATTGGCTTGAGTGAGGACGGAGGGCAAGTGTACACTACAAAATTCAGGCTTTGTCTACACTTACTGCTTTGTCTACACTGCCACTTACAGCACTGAAACGTTCTTCACTCAGGGGTGTGAAAAAACACCCCCCAAGCGATGCAAGTTTCTGCACTGTAAAGTGGCAGTGTAGATAGTGCTACAGCACTGGGAGCCGCGACTACACAGCACTTTAACGTCGGCTGTGTAGACATCCCCTAAGTTGACTTAAGTTACTTCAGTCATAGCCACTGCAGTAATTGATTCGGTTTTGCATGTCCACACTAACTCCTGTTGGCAGTGTGCATCTTCACCAGGGGCGCTTGCACAGATTTAACTGTCAGTGTGGGACATTGTGGGGCACTGAGAGCTGGAGCACAATCACACAGGGCTGACAGCTGGAGCCCCGCAGCTGGATGACAGCCAGAACAGTCGAATGTAAGCAATGCAGTCTCTATACCAGTGGTTCTCAACCTCTTTACCATTGTGCACCACATATGCAGCTCTCTATGTGGTATGTGGGCTGCATCCACACAGTATATACTACCTGTATGGCCCTGAGGATGTCACATGGGCTGCAGCTGTGTGCTGATTGGGCCACAAGTGGCATGCGGGCCACGGGTTGAGAACCACTGGTCTATACTGACACTGCATCAACCTAACTACATGGAGATGAAGACTTACATCAGTGGGAGCAACACTGTAGTGTAGACGCTTCCAGAGTTACGTCGACATAAGCTGCCTTATGTTGACCTCACTCTGTAGTATAGACCAGGCCTGAGTAAAGATTTCAGGACTTGGCCTTCTGCCTTTACTGGAGAACTTGCACGTGGGGAGAAAGTATCAATGAACAAAATTACTCATCAGTGAGGAATGTCTGCTCTTATGTATTACATTGCTTTAAATTATTGGGCAATTCCCCAGGGCAAGACCTGCTGTATTTGAGAAGCATTCCCTCCAGAAAACATTCAGGGTTTTTAATTTCATTAAAAGAAATACACCATGCCTGGATTATGTTTCAAGACAGCTGATTAATTAATAAATTAGATGAGTTAAAAGGAAATGAAAGTGAAAATGAAAAAAGCACTAAAATATCTGAAATTATCATACGATTAGAACACAATGAAATACATTTGCTGTCTTTATTAGCATAAAGCAAGGATGGTCAGGTTCATTATTTGCTTGAAAGATGTGAATTGCTGAAAGTTATAATGACCAGTTCTCTTACTTACTGCTGGTTTTAAACTATCAGAGTTGTCACACAGATGAATGTATAGAAGTATTGTTAAAACATCTATACAAAATGTTCCAATGGTCAGTTCAGGCAAAATTCCCATTAATGCTCCTTACTTGGGCAAAATTCCCCTTCAAATCCTTTAGCTTGAGTCAGGACTGCAGGATCAAGCATCAGAATCTTTTTGATTATTTCGTGTGGTTAGTGTGAATTAGTTTATGGAAGGCCAGTGATCGTGAACAGTGAAAGTAGGGACGTGTGTTTCTGCCTAGGTATGTGGTAGAAAACACATGTGATCTGAGGAGTCAGTGCCTCTAAATTAAGGCTGGATGTCTTTCTAAAAGAGGTGCTGTAGCTCAAAACAAAAGTTATGGGCTTAATGTGGAAATTACTGGATGAAGTTTTCTGGCCTCTGTTATGCAGGAAGTCTGACTAGATGATCACAAGTGGTCCCTCCGGACCTTGAAATCTATGCATTCATTACAGGCATTGCCCTAATCTGTGCGTCTTTCAGACCAGGATTTTGTAGTGGAGCATGTGGAGTTTTGTGTTCCTGGCAATGAGAGAGATTGTTATCACTTTTCTTTGTGAAAGTTGCTGAGATACTATAGCGATGGGGGCCAATAGGAGAACCAATGATGAGATAAAACAAGCAAGCAAAAATAGGAATTTCAAAAGTAGGAGCTGAAAACTAATGTACTGATTTTCAAAAATGCTGAGCATCCAGCTGCCAACTATGGAAAACATTAGGATCCTAACTTCAGATTCCTGTTTTTGAAAATCATGCCCTTATTAACTTAAGAGAAAACATTATACTTCCAGGTATGGGTAGAACCAGCTTTCAGTCCTTTCTGAATGTGCTAAAACCAAAACACAATATGACAGAATTTAAGAATGATGCTTTGTGAAATGCTGAAAAATGCTAGGGATTATCAAATTCCACAAAATGCATCCTATAAAGGACAATTCCTCGGAGACCTATTTAAAGAGATTAATATTCCAGCCCCTTTCATACATTCCTGCCAGAAAGTAATAACTTGAGACCTAAGCAGGTTTTAGGATTTTAACTGCAGCGGTTGCAGCAGTGCTAAGGAAACATGCACTGCTTATCTGTAAACAGTTAGATAAAAGCAAGGACAAATTTAATCCTTAACTAGTTCTGGAGTCTCTGTTTTTGTGAATACACGTTTAATATCCAGAGGTCCTAATTTAAAACCCTGGGCCAAATACTGAGCTGGTGGAAATTGGTGTAGCTCTTTAGAAGACAATGAAATTATCCTGTTTTACACCAGCCAAAGATCTGTCCCATGTTTCTATGAGTTGAGGGTTTTTTGTTTTTTTAATTTTTAACATTTTTGGATGTCTTGAGAAAAATTGAGATTTGAATCTCAAACAATACACATACTTCTGTTCAAAATCAGTAGTAAAACTTCATGAGATGTATGTGCTGGGGGTGTTGAGAAGGAATGTCAGAGAGAGAGAGAAGAAAAGACAGTTAAAATATTGAAAGATTTCGTTGTCATGTTCTTGACTTGATCCTAGGTGCTGCTATATAGAGCCTGACACATCAGAAATGTCCTAATTCTATTTTCTTTTTAAAGTCCTTGATTATGCTATAGACATTTGAATATAGTTGGTCAGTCAAGGCAGACAATATTTTGTGAAAACAGATACTGTAATGTTCTGTGAAAATGTTCATCAGACTATTGAATCCTGGTTGAAAAACTGCACGCATTTTTGTGAAAATTGGAAAACACATTTATAAAAAAACCCCAAAAGCTGTCATAATTTTTTTTAAAGTTTTTGACCAGCTGGAACCACCAAGCTGGGTTCATTCTAATGGGGTCTTAGGCTGGGAATAATGATCATTTATATTACAGTAGCACCAAGAGGCCCCAGTTGAGATCATGCACACATAGTAAGAATCCAGTCCATGTCCTGAAGACCTTACACAAGGCAGACAAAAGGTGCGAGAAAGAAAGTATAATATCTTCATTTTATACACAGGGAACTGAGGAACTGACCTTTAATCCAGATTGCACAGAAAATCTGTGGCAAAACTAGGAATTGAGCCTAGGTCTCCTGAGTTCCAGCCTTAACCACAAGACCAACTGTTCTAGCAGGGTCTTAGATGGATCATTATTCATATAGTTCCCTGTGTACAGTGTGAAATGGACCATGATAAAGATGCTTTTCTGTTCTTATTTTCTACTGGGGAAGTTAAGTGGTCTCTGAATTAATAATTGTTAAAATAAACAAAATCTTTCTGTATGTGTGACATAGAAACTGACATTCTAAACACCCATGGATCTTGACGCTCAGATCAAAATTCCAAAGACTCTCCCTATCCTGGAGCACTGCCTTTTCCCTTTGTTTTTGGAGAGGTGGTTACTGGAATGGTGACTACATTGCTGGTTTATTGCTGCTTGGAAGATCCTCTGTGTTGAACAGTTTTCATGATATATGATGATGCCTCAGGACAAAAATATCAATAAAGAGATTCTTGAAGTACAGCAGCTTGTTGGTTAGATATTCCGGGCCTGCTTCTTACCTCTGTTACACTGGTGTAAAACAGGGGTAACATGCCATTAAAATCAACAGAGTTACACTGGCACAGTACTGGTGTAATGGAGTGGAGAATCAGTACCTCACATTGGTAAGAGGGTTGCAAGTTGCTAAATTAAAAATCCTGATCCTGTGAGGTGCTGAGCATCTCCTCTATAGCATCATGTCCCCTCAATTCCCATTGGCTTTAATGGGAGTCATGGGTGCTCAGATTATCGCAGAATGCAGCTTTAAATGGGAAGTAAGTTCAGAGTTCTGATCCTTGAGTGTAGTGCCATAGGCATCCATGGAACTATTCTTGTGAAAGGGATGCAGGATTGGGCCCCAATATTTTTTAAGCTGTAGGAAAAATGTGACTGATTAGTCATGCTTTTTTTTTTTTTTGCAGCTTTTTAAATCTAAGGTCAGATTTCTAAGGAGGTGAATCTCCATTGAGAATTATTCATGAAAATAAAATAACCCCCCACCCCCATTTTCCCTCCCATAAGAAATTCCTTGTTGAAGAAACATTAAAATGTTTAGAAAGTGCATAAAATCGAACTATTGCTAGTTAAAGGGGGAGAAGAAAAGCCACCACCTTCCACTAAGGAGGCACAAGAAAAATTTGCCCTTATAAAATCTTCTGCTTTTAGGAGGCCTTTTAATGTTAATGTAATTATGAGCATTACTTTACATAAATTCATTATGTAAAGCTTGTTTGCTGAGGTTTGCTCCTACTACAGCCCCCTGCCCTTATCCCTCCTCCTCCTCCTCCAGCAAGAAAGATTCTCTGACATTGTGACAGGTTCTAGAATGAATGAATGAGAGAAAATAGAAGATATTAAGTGTAGCAGTCCACAGCACACATTAGCAAGAAGCCTGTCCTAGTGCATTATTGCCCTAATCACTGCTGCGCCAGACACTCCCATGGAAGGCATGATTTGTTGACAATCCATTTCTCCACCAGAACAAAGATGGCTGCCAGAATGCATTGTCAGGGGAATGCTTTCTTATTCCCCCTCCCCCCTTCCCCTTTCAACTCTCTCCTAAAGGATAATTGGGAGAAGAGTCAGAGAAAGGAACAGCTGGCAGGTTATACAAATGGTTTTAGGGAGGGGTGACCGAGGGGGCTGTATACTCCTTACTCACAAAATGGCAGCCTGCAAAGAGATTTACCAAACATATTCTGGCAGATGGACTTCTGCTCCCAATTACCAAAGACAGATGCATCTCTAAACAACAAATCCACAAGCGTTTGTCGTTAAGGAATTGTACTTCGGTTGTAATCGAACAAAATAGTCCTTTAAATGTCTGCCTCCTCTGTAGCCCCATTCAGATAGAACTCTGGATTTCATATATGTTGCATGGAGCTGCTTAAGACATTTGAATTTAATGGTGCAGAATGTTCCCCCCACCAAGGACTGAGTTTTAACAGATTCCTTTAAAAACTTCATTTGGAACACTGATTTCCATCTGACTTGAAAGAGGTAGCTCTGGAGTACTAGAGACTACAACTCTGCTTAACTTTAATTGTGAATCAACTTAGAGGCAGGCAAGAACTGCCTACAGTGTATTTCCACACACTTGGGTCAGCGTGTGGCATCAGGGGGGATGATTTATAGCTCACATAGTAAGACTTTTGCCTTGAGGCAAGCTGGACGTGCATCGTGTGTGCAGTCATAAGGGGGCTGAATACCAAACTTTATATATTCATCAGCTCTTTTTTATAAATGATCTCAGCAAGAGCAATCCTACCTCTTTGCACCTAATCACATCTTTTGCTTACATGGTAGCAGTCAGCACGTTATAATATTAGTATAATATTTCTTACTTCTTATTGTTAACGCTGGCGTCTGTGTTTCAGACCTCTAGTTTGGGGTTTTTTTTTCTTTTGGATTGTCTTTTTTCACCCATTCAAGATCAATGAAGTTGTTTAGAGCCATAACAGGGTGGCTTGCTCCTTTTGGGCTAGAGTCCTGGGGCAAGCCAACCCTGATTACTCAGGAAGCAAACCTTAACAGGGATAACCCGGTTCACCCATAAAGAGCAGCAGAAAGCAAGGAGGGAAATGCTCAGGGAGATCAGACGCTGCTCAGAGAGAGTAGGCTCCAGCAGAGAGTCCTGGTACTGAGACTACAGGCAGGAAAGGCCTAAGGAGACTTTATAAGACAGTAGATGCTCGGACTTAAAGTCTCCTAATTTTGAACTGTTTTTGGATGGAAATAGAGCAGAATCTGCAGAAGTAAGAAGAGAGTCCAACCAGGTAGTTCTGAGTGTGGCCTGCAAAGGCAGGGAAGTGACGCAGAGAGCAGCCTTGGGGAGAAGAGAAGCCTTGGGACTGAGTTTTTTCTTCTTCTGTGTTTTCTGTTAATAAATTAGTCCCTGGGAGAAGGAGCATTATTGGAGAAGAAAAAAAAACTCGTGTGTGGAGTTTATTTGAGGAACCAGAAGGGAAAACTGAGGTGAGGGGCTGACTGCAGGACTGCCTCAGGCCACAAGGGGGTGCCCAGAAGGAAGCCACAAATTGAAAGTCTCCAACAGCTGTGCCAGACTAGCTGTAGGAGCTCAAATCTAGGTTGTTAGCACAGCACGCAGGAATCTTGCTCTCATACTTTTGGATAAGCTGTTCACTTTGCAAGGAGGAAAGGCTTCCCTGAATTCTTTCTTTCAAGGTACTTCAAATTAAGGCCAGAAGTCATGGAAGAGATTTCTCAACTTGGAGAAAATTCTGTGTTTAAAGTAATCAGTGCATGAAATTCTATCACAGGAAGCTCTGGAACTTCAGTGTAATTCTCTGCGTGTTGGTCACCCTGGGTTTATGCTGGCTTCTGCTGGGCTAAATGTTGGCACAGGTATCAAGTGGACGGAGATCTGCCAAGGAATAGGGGTGATGCAACATAGGGCAACTGCAATCCCCCTTCTATTGGGGAGGGTGCATTGTTGGCTATGAGCAAGTTGTGGCTAGATTGGCTGAGATGCGCTGATGCACCAGCATAGCTCCGATGGCCACCCTCCATCAGTGGTTCCACCCCATCAGTGGAAACTCTGAATTAGGGTGGGGGAAAGTGCCTGCCTTTGCTTGGGTGAATGCTCTCTGGGATGAAAGGGTCTGGTTGGCACCTCTGCCTATGCCGGTGCTAATGAGTCAAGCTTAGATTTTGAGGGCAAAGAAGGTCTGGATTTGGTGTCCTAACGTGATGTTCACCTTCTCTTCTCTGGAATGCCTTCATCAGGGACTCCCTCATGGAACAAGAGGAGGACCTGGCAACATTTTGCCTGTGACTTGGAGGCTGCTTCTCCCATTTCTCTTTCTTCCCCATGAGTTCCTCTGTACTCCTCCTGGAGTTCCCTCATTTCTCTTTCTCCTCCCTAATTTCTGTGCCTCTCCCTCCTTTTCTGTGTCACAGTATCTGTTTTTGCTTTCCCTAGCTAATCCCCAGTTTCCCCAGCCCAGTTTGTTACAAGGATGACTGCTTTGCTTTTGGAGGCTCTATGGACAGTAAAAGAGAGGTAATAGTGTTTTGACAGGTACCTATGCTTGGAGACTTCATGCGCTCCCTCCCTGGATAGCTACTGAAGAGATCTGGCTACATCTTTATTCTCAGTCCAGCAAGCAAACCGTAAACATAATAATACTTAGCTCTTTGATATGTCATTGAAATATTCTGCCTGTTTTATAATAGTCTCACTCATCTCAAGACAGTGTGATAACAGAAATTAAATATGAGCCACCTTAGTTTGACAATCCACAAATCTTGTGTCCCACTCATATTGCTGAATACGATAGGCCAAATATAATTTGAGTTTGTAGATCACGATCTAGGTGTGTGCTGAAATTTGTCTTCTAGGACAAAGGGAAGGAAGCAATAATAATGAATAACAATAATACTTAACTTTTATGTTGTAGTTCTTTTCATCTTCAAAGTGCTTTGCTAACTAATTAATCAGGTTCTAAACAGAACCGTGAAAGATATGGAGACTGCCAAGTATCACAAGCATTTGATACACATGACAACAATAAGGTTTGTTGCTACTGGGATTAGTGCTGGGAAGAATGCATGACTAAGGAAATAGCTCCATGACCTTCCTTGCACTGGAAGGAATCTTGTTACAGATAAGGTGGGGGATAGCATAATTCATGTGAATAGTTGTTCACCTTTAAGACTCTCTGCTAGCTCACTAGGAGTTCCCTGCTCCTTCACATAAGGGTGCAGGGATCAAATAGATGGCTTCAAGAGCAGTGGGCATTCTGAACAAGGAGAAGAGCTTCCTATCCCTATGCCCCCAAGAGTCATAAGATATTTCCTACCATGTATGAAAAATCTTATTTCCCCGCAAAGAACATATAACCAATATCTTAATCTTTGCCTGAAAAAAAACCCCATCTGTCTAGGCTATTCAAGTGACACTTACACTTCAATGGACTATGATCACCACTGCCAGTTGCTTCCTATAGATTGTGGAAAAAGAGGTACAAAATTAGCTTTTCCACTCTCACCCCCAGTTGCCCAACATGAAATGATTTTTCAGGCCTCTGGAAGTTGAGGTAGCCCTTCAACCAAAACATCATCTCTCTCTTAGAAGACTTCATGATTACATTTCTGCTACCAAAGGACGAAAGAAAGGGGCTTTATTCTGGCTATTTCCCAATCTTCCCCACATCAAAAGGCATTTGACCCTTCTTCATACTCAGGTCACTGTCACAAGGAGGACTGTCTCTCATGTCAGGACACAGAGTCCTTCCTGCCTTTTGATCTGGAGTTAGTACTGTATGTGTTCAAAAATTGCTTAAAATATAATTATCTTTAAGATATACACAGGTTTCATATGTAATTAGCTGATCAAGAACACTGGAATGGATGTGGCATATAAATCATCTGTTTATTGCCAAGGCATTGAAATGGGCTCTAGGTTGTACATTTAAAGTCCTTAGCCAATCAAGAATAAATATTCAGTCCTTCACAAATGTTATTTGATCCAAAACATAAAATGTAAGGAAAGAAAAAGAAAGGCTGCAATCAGAAAGTGAAATTCCATACTCCTGATCTCATGTTGAAATATTAAGTAGTTGTAATCAATTTTCACACCTATCCCATACAGATAATAGTGTGTATTCATTCTAAACTTCATTTATACTGCCATTGTTATAACAAAGTCCGAATTTTAGACACTAGTGGCATGTGAGGCTCCTTGACAAAAGCCGCATGCATCCAAAGCATTGGTATTTTTTTTTCTTGCAAATTTAGCATATGCAAGTGAAGCTAAAACTTTTTTTTACTTAGTTTTTCTTTTCATGCTTATATTCACCACAGTAATGTTGATAGCTAGTGGCATGTTTTGGATTTTGTGCTGGGCTCTGAAGCCTGGCCTGCACGCACTAGTAGTACTAGTTTAACTAAATTGATTTCTAAATCAATTTATAAAATCATTGCAACCTCCTTGGGTGGGCACTCTTAAAACTGAATTAAGCTAACATGGTATTAGCTGCTCTTAAACCAGCTGAAGAGTATCCTTGCCAGGGAGCTGCACCAATTCAACTAACGTGATTTAGTAACCGATTTACTTACACTGGTGCAATTTTTATGTGTAGACAAGCCTTTGGGTTCATCATAAATTACTCACAGTCTCACTTTTCCTCGTCAGAATCCAACAGAAGATGACCTTGGTTAGGAAAATAAAACAGAACAAGCAGAGTACTGGGGAAGAGCACTCGGGGTCTGAAGATATTGAACTAGATCCTTAGATGGTGTAAATTGGTATAGCTCCTAAGCAGGTATAACTGGGATGGAGCTATGCTGATTTATGTCAGCTAAGGATCTGGCCCATTAACTCTGTTTTTATGCCAATAGCTCCACCCTGCAGAAAAAAACCTTAAAGGGTTATGAAGTGTCTACAGTCTCAGGTTCACCCTATGAGTCTGACTGATTAGTATGAATCTGAATTCAGTTTGATCAGAGCAGATTTCCAAACTTCTCATCCTCAGTCTGTCCTAACAAGAGTTGTGTCTAAACTTGTTTTAAGTTTTAAGGGGCAGGTGCAAGACATCTACACTCACTGTGTTTAGTCTTGTAGGCGCGTACACCAAAATACCCTGGACAGGGTGGGGTTTTTAGACCTTGAGAAATTCAGTATTCAAGCAAGATCACATTATACAAGCAATCTGGCAGCAGTGTTTTACATCAGCAACGAGGGAATAAGAGCAGGGTCAGACATCTAGTGTCAGCTAGCCATCACTCAAAGTTTGAAATTATACAATGTCCAATGAGACCTTCCTTTTTAAACCTTAATACAGAAGGAAGAAGGATACCTTTCCAGACACTCTCAAATGCATCATCTCAGTGATTTCTAGACTCGATAAACTATTGTACCAGATTTTCTTTAATAAGAGAGAACGTAAATCAACTGGCCATCAGCCGAACTACAAGCATCAGTATTTTATTTTAAGAAAAGGGTTAAGTAGTGCAATGACAATAGTTACATGCTTCCATCACTTATAGAAACGATTTACAAATTACAGAGATTCCATGATCTTAGTAGACTTCTCCAAGATGATTAGAGAGACAAGGTGGGTGAGGTAATATCTTTCATTGGACCAACTTTTGTTGGTGAGAGAGACAAGCTTTTCAGCTTACACAGAGCTCTTCTTCAGGTCTGGGAAATGTACTTGGAGTGTCACAGCTAAATACAAGGTGAAACAGATTATTTAGCATATTTAGTTGTGGCACTCCAAGTACATTTCCCAGACCTGAAGAAGAGCTCTGTGTAAGCTCAAAAGATTGTCTCTCTCACCAACAGAAGTTTGTCTAATAAAAGATATTAGCTCACCCACTTTCTCTCTCTCTCTAATATCTCGGGACCAACATGGCTACAACAACAGGGTGAGAAAGATCTAGTTTCCTCCTCAGGTGGATGTGGTTACAGGAGAACTCTCAGATAGTTCACAACATTTTACCAGATACAATCATTCTTAATGAAAGAACTTTTATCAATTTCAGCTTGGAATTTCTCACTTAAAAGGAGTTACTTATCTTTAAATAGAATGTACTGAAAATAGACTTGTTTTCCCAGTCTCATCTCCTTTGAGAGTTTGATCCAGATCACAAATGTCACGGTTGTCAGCGGGAGTTGTGCCATAGATTTCAGTGGGAGCTGCATTAGGCCCTTGGTTTATTGTAATACTTAGAACCAGGCTTACATGGAAAAACATGCAGTTTTTATACTGTGCTCCTGAGGCCTGTGCACTTAATAGTTTTGCCTTGAGGCAAGAATCTTTACTAAACAAGCTATGAACTGCTCTCCTATTGTCACTCATTGGAGACCACAAGAGCCAGGAATGTGGATCCTTACTTCATGTGACCTTCCAAAAAGTACAGCTGATGCGTAAATAACTCTCCTTTTTACATAAAGAAGTGGTACTGAGATTCTGACTTAACATTAGGCTCTTCAATGGGAGAACTTTTAGATACATAGACATTACACAGGTTGTCATCAAATGCAGTTTGTCTTCAGATGAGATTTATGTGAAATTGGTTCTTGCATAATG